TTAAATATTATAGACAAATTTTCGAGATTTTCTTTATTTGTTTGCTCAGATGTCTCCACCATTATACCATGTTGTGATTTACCACTAAGAAAATCCTCAAATTGCCCCTTAATCCAACTTTGTAAATCATTAACTCTAGTCAAATATGCACCAGTGATTTCTGCTGATCTGTGTGCTTCAACCTCATCGATCTTATCATCCATCAATTTCTTTAGATCATTGATCTTATCTTCAACACTTTTTAATAAATTCTCAAGGATAGCACGCTCCTTCTTGTTCATTGCACCATCATTTGTTGAAAGACTCTCTTGAATATTGTCATGAAGTTTAACCAATGAGGATAGTTCTGTCTGTTCTAAATCATTCAATTCAGTCTGCCAATCATTGATATTGTCTTTTGTCACTTGATCCACCAATGAAGATGATATTATGTCAGATAAGTTTTCAACCTTGGAGATTGTTTCTTTGATTTTCTCTTTGAAATCGACTATTTGCAATGCTTGATCCAATTGTTGTTTGGTTTTTGGTATAGCTTCTTGTAATTCTTGCCATAAATCATCAATTTCTGCTTTTTTAAGTTGTACTGCTTCAAGCCCAATATCAATATCCCCGTCATTATTATTATTATTGTTGTTAGCAGCAATATCTTTCTTCATTTGATCAATTAAATTACTTGCCAAGTTCTTAGCTAGTTCATAGACATCAGTATAAGCTTGTTTTCCTGACTCAACTTTATTGACTTCTTCCAATAAATCATGTAATTTATCTTCATTAAGTTCACCCAAAGTATCATCTTTCAATATTTTACCAAGGAATTCCAAATGTGGATTCACCCAATCAATAATATCTTTGGCTTGATTCAAGAAATCATTGATTGCATCACATTGTTCCAAAACATTCTTGCCTAGCTCCACTCTATCCATCAAATAATCAAATTTCTTTTCAAAATCTGATTGACGATCTGATAAATGTTTTGGACATTTTTTTGATAGTAGGTTTTTGATTGTTGAAACCATGTCTTTATTTGATGATTTCAATGGTTCCAAGACATTTTCTTGGAATTCTTTAACTTTTCCAGTAAAGATTTCAAACTCTTCTTTCGGGTCTAATTTTGGTTCTTCTGGAATTGGCTCCTTTTCATTTAAACCTGCATCTTTTTCATCCGGGTCTATATCTTTTTCATCTAAAGTTGTTGTATCCTTTTCGGTTGAAAATGCCTCTTGATCATCATCAATGTTTTGTGTAGAGCTGTCCGATTTTTGATTTAAATCTAAATTTGGTTCTTTTACTATTTCATTATGTTCATTATCATGATCAATTACAGTTGTAGTTGCAGTCAAAATTGGAATAGCAGTATCAGGAACAATTGAAGCAGCTTTATTATCACCAATTTTTTCTTCCACACTTTCATTATCATAATCACCATCTCTCTTTTCTGTTTCAGTCAACAAACTTTCTGTTGCTTGTTTTGAATCATTGATTGTTTCTTGTTTACTTGAAAATAGTATTTTACCCTCATCATCTTGATTTTTATTATCTTCATTAATATCATTATCAGTTAAAGTACCAGTAGTTGCAGCTTCATCATTATTGTTATCATTATCCTCTTCAGTGTCACCACCACCAGCAGTACTACTAGTAACATCAACAGGTTTCCATCTAGCCTTTTCTACAATGAATTTGTTAACTTCATCAATTAAATCATTCAATGATTGCATTCCAGGAACATATTGATCCTCCCAATTAGCACGTGGTTGTAATACTGATAATGATATTAATGAAGATAATAAAAATCAAGATGATGAGGGTAAAACAATCATATCAAACATATATAATAATAATATTAACATTGTAATTATATTTAAATGCTTAATCATTTTTTGTGTGAAGGTATGTGGCCTTAAATGGAATCCTGAAGGAACTCAATTAGCAAGTGGTGGTAATGATAACATGCTCTTGATTTGGGACAAATCAAATGATAGTCCAATCTATAAATTTCTTCATCACACTGCTGCTGTTAAAGCAATTGCTTGGAGTCCACATTCACATGGTCTTTTAGCAAGTGGTGGTGGTACTCAAGATAAACATATTCGTTTTTGGTCAACTACAACTGGTGAAGCATTGGAAAGTTATGATACTGAGTCACAAGTATTTATATATCAATATATTATTGGTTTTTTTTTAATTTTATATAAAATGAATGATATTTATTGGGTGTGATTTAATGTTTGTTTTTTGGTTTTTGAAATTAGGTTTGTAACCTTGCTTGGTCTAGGCATGCAAATGAAATAGTTTCTACTCATGGGTACTCTCAAAATCAAATAATTCTTTGGAAGTATCCTTCTATGGAACAATTAGCTGTGTTAAAAGGACATTCTTTTAGAGTATTATATCTTTCTGTTTCACCTGATGGTCAAAATATAGTTACTGGTGCTGGTGATGAAACATTACGTTTTTGGAATATCTTTAACAATGCAAAAAAGGAGCCAAAACGTGAATCGTTTTTTAATTTTAGGGCAAAAATTCGATAAAAAAATATTATAAATTTTTTAAATAAAAAGGAAATTAATTTTAATTTATTTACTAAATCAAAGATTCCAAAGTGCTTTATTACATTAACATACAATTAGTGATGATTAGATTTTTAGATACATTATTTTTGAATAATTATTCTTGGATGGTTAAAATTTTTATTAAGGAAACTAGCATATTATAATTTATACAAAATTTTATTTTTTTAAATTTGTAATTTATTAAGTTTTTTTTTGATTTTCATTACATTATTAAACAATTATTAGGTAAATAAAGGCTTATGACATCAAAACAACATTGTTTTTGGCAATTTCAATGTTCTGTATGACCGCTGATTGACTTTGACTGGGCATAATGTATGCCACAAGGGGAATAGAACATGATCTTTATGCTTGAAAGATTATATTGCATATCTGACTAGTTAATGTTTCTTTTCCATCTAGCAAAAAGAGATTTTTTTTTATATAGTAATAAAATAAATAAATCACTTTCAACTGGAAATAAATAGATAAAAATACAATAATAATAAATATTTTTGAAATAAATAAATAATCATCTATCTATAAAAATCATAAGAATCATATTAATAATAATAAATATAATATAAAGTCTAATTATGTAATGAATATATGTGTAATGTTTTAAAAATATAGAATGTATTGTTACTTGCTGGCTAAATCCACAATCAATTATTTTTATATTCATTTTTCACTTTTTTATATTATCATTGCAAGGAATGATTTAAATGTAATTAATAATTAACCTCTTTACCAATAACCCATAACCGATTAACTATTAATTAATTAAATAACCACTAACATCAATAAAAATTTAACCTAATATATATATATATTATATATATTAACACTCTACCACCAAACCTAATAATAATCAAAATAATAAACCAGAACTGGTGGTATAATAAAAGAATAGATGCACTTATTCTTCCATAGGTTTAATTATCTGAGAGTTAGGCCTACCAAAACGAAATCTATCAAGGTCTGGTTCATTGTTACTATTACTTCTCACTCTTCTAGCAAAAGACATTCTTTTCAACGCCAACGGCTCGTTAAGCTTCGCTGTGGGGTCTTCGATCCTGAGCCCTGATTTCGGGATGAAGCTGATGTTCGTCTCATAAAAACTGGAACTACCAAAGGCTTCACTTGTTGGGCTGGTTGGGGTGTCTCGTCCTCCTCCTCCTCCTCCTCCATAGCCGCTTGGCTCAGTTTCATCAGTTCGGATAAAAGATCGGGCTTTGGGGATAAACTTTTGTTCCAGGTTAGCGTGTTCTGTTGTGGCAGAATGAATTGGAGAGTGACATCACTGTTATCTATAATTGTCATACACAATAACAATAACAAACAACGACAAATGTCAAAAAATGATAAAAAAAAATAAAAAAAAATAATATTTCTCTCTTTTCAGTGAATGAATTTTGAAGGTGAGTGGTAATCCAAATTCAATATATATATATATATATATACATATTTTCGAGTGTGTTTGGAAGGGGGTAATGATAATCTATCTCTTTCAGACAAGTGTAAATAATGAATGATATACGTACCAATTAGGAATCTTTTATATTATTTAAAAAAAAAAAAAAAGAATAGAAGAAATTTTTAATTATTAATAATTAACACAATCAAAAACAAAAATTCAATATTAAATTTTGCATTTGCATTTGTTAGTAATAATGATAATGATATAAGTGATTAGTAAAAATAGCAAGTATAATGCTGCTGAAGTAATACAGCTACTTGTGTTCTTAATTTCTCACTTCTCTTTTTTTGTATATGTATATATATATGTCACCTACTTTGACAATTCAGCCCATCCTCCACCAACTCTGACCATTACCATCCTACTTCTTAAAATACGACAAAAACAAAGTTTAGGATCAACCTCTCCAAACGTGTATTTGCCATGTTCACCTTCCACCATGGAAACTTTTATTTTCACTGGGCATGAATTAACAATTCTTGCTACTTCAACATCCAATGGGTCTTTTACATCAGGTATATAATTATTAACTGTATGTGGTACTAATCTTATTTGTGGTCTTCTTGGTGATCCTGGTGATCCTGGTGTTTGATTTGGACTTGGTGTTGATCTATTAGGTGTTAATAATGGACTACCAATTCTAGATGATGGTTGACGAGATTTTGGTCCTGTTAATGCTGGTGAGACTATTCCACTACGTTTTCTAGCTTTAAAACCCAATAAAAAGATGTTGTTAGTATAGACAAAAATACATATATATTAATATATTAATTAATTAAATTTACGTGATGCAGATGATGATCTATTGTTTCTAGTTGGTGAAGATATTCTGCCTGATGATAATATTTGAGAGCTCGATCTTTCATGTCTTGTAGGTCTAGCCTTTTGTCCAGACAATAACCGTCTCAATTCATCCATTTTAGCATTTGTCACATCGATCAATTCTGCCCATTGTTCCTTTAAAATACCCAATCTATCCAAAACTCTCCAATCATCTTTAATAGGTTCTGATATTCTTTTTACATCTTCAAATTTATCGTCTATTCTGGGTTTATAATAAGAATATTGTGATTCTATCTCAATCAACCTTGCATCCAATTCGATTTTAGTCAATAATGATAATGGTAATCCATCGTTTGTTGTTGTGGCTCTATCAACAACTTCAAGCAGTGAGCTCATTAACGTATTCATTTCGTCTGCCTTCTTGCCAAATAATACCAATATTTCTGCCTCATTTAACTGTGATCGTTTGTTATCTATCATTTCTTCCAGATTTGCAAATGCTTCTGCTATACTTAAACGCCGTTTAGTAAAACTAGGCTCATTCTCTGATAAATTACTAAGCAATTCATCTAATGCTTCAATTTTTGGTACAAGCATATGATCAATTTCAGCTTGTATCTCATCAAGTTCTCTTAGATTGGTTTGGACATCGTCTTTTGTTGGTAGTCTTGGTACTCCCTCACCAATAAAGAAAGATTCAATGTCTAAAACTCGTCCTTTTTCTTGACCAATTAATACTGAGATATCTTTGATGGCTTTTAAAACTTCTTGTGCTTCTTTGGATGCATTCAATCTTGACCTTAAATTTCCCAATAAATCTGTTAATTCATCCCAATCTTCTAAAAGTCTTTTTGTTCTAGCCTCTACAACACCTTTAATTTTAGGTTCTACTTCCACGACTTGTTGTTGAGGTTGTTGCTGTTGTTGTTGTTTCCCTTCTTCATTTAATACACCATCACTACCATCCTCATCATTATAATAAGCATTCAGATTGCCTTTATCAATACCACTATCGTCATGCTCACGAAGATCTTCTGAGTAAACTTGATTGTAATTATTAACTTCCACGGCTTGTTGTTGTTGCTGCTGCTGTTGTTTTCCTTCCTCATTTAACACATCACCACTGCTATCCTCATTATTATCATAAGCATTCAGATTTCCTTTATCAGTGTTACTATCGTCATGCTCACGAAGATCTTCTGAGTAAACTTGGTTGTAATTATTAACTTCCACGGCTTGTTGTTGTTGCTGCTGCTGCTGCTGTTGTTTTCCTTCTTCATTTAATACATCACCACTGCTATCCTCATTATTATCGTAAGCATTCAGATTGCCTTTATCAGTGTTACTATCGTCATGCTCATGAAGGTCTTCTGAAGTGACAATCGGGTAAGCTTGATTGTAATTATCATTAACGGCATTGGTATCATTGATAATAGTTGGCAAAAGAATATGTTGACTCATATCTTTATAAGTATCAATAGTAGATTGGAAATTCATTGCATTTTCTTCCAATTCTTCGACTTCAGCTTCTTGATCTATAGCGCCAACTTGGATATTTAATGCAGCCGCCTTACAAGCTGAAATCCATTCATTGATATCTTCTGATGCCTTGGTATGCGGATAGATTTTTCTTGCCATATCAATTCCCTGTTTTTCAGCCAAAATGCTATTTGAGAAGCCTTCAAGCGCTTGTGTAACTTTATTTAAAATATTCTGTACATAATCTTTATTTGCTTCAGGATTCATTTCAATCAATTTATCGGCATCAGTTTTCAAGCCAAAATTTAATTCTTCACATTTTTTAAATTGTTCCTCGCTCTTTAAAAATCCAATCATGGCATTATTAATCAAATTTTCTAATGCTTCAGCTTCTAATGAATAATATTCACTATTGTTGAACTCATCACGTCTTGATTCAACTATCGAAGTGCCCTCCAAACATGAACTGATGATTTTGTCAGCATCAGCACTGAATGCTGCCAACAATGAAGCATTACGGGCTTCTGCTAATGCTTTCTGGAAGAGATTTGACAACTTAGTAAGTCGAGCAGTGGCATCTGAATGATGTTTATTAAAGTTTTGACGGTTTGTAATGTCTAAAATATCATTGTCAATATCAACTATCTGACTAGCGCCGGATTTGGCTTCTTCAAGCATTTCTTTAGCCTTTTGTAATTTATCATCTAATTCTTTAGCTTCAAATTCCAAATTGTCAAAACTCACATTACCCAATTTATTGATATGATCCTCGAGTCCATCAAAAATGTCATCTTCTACACGATATATAATATTATGCTGATCATACCATTTGCCAACTTTATTGATGAAATCTTTAAATTCATTAGAGCCTAAATCCAAATTTTCCCATAATTCATTCAATTCAGTTTGTGACTTAATCACATCTTGTAATTCACGTATACCTTCTTGTGACTTGATATTATTATACTCTTCTGTTATGCTATTGAATAGTTCAAATTTCTCTGGAAATTGTTTTTGGAAATTATTAAATATTATAGACAAATTTTCGAGATTTTCTTTATTTGTTTGCTCAGATGTCTCCACCATTATACCATGTTGTGA